GTTAATTCAAGAAAATTGAATTTAAATCATGAAAAGGGAAAATAATTCGGAAACAATCACGCATGTTTTTTTCTTCTTATTCAAATAATTAATTCATTAATGATAATGAAATATATATATGTTTTATCATTTCTCCCCTACGATAACAAAATAGATCAAAATAATTCAATCCACAAACAGAACATGAAAGAACACTTTGTTTAAAAAAATTGACTTATGAAAAAGCATTTTTTATCGTTTAAAATATCGAATTTTTAACTCAACACGAAAGCATCGTTTTTCATGTAAAAAAAATCAGATATGCAGCCAAACCTAATTCCAAAGCTGGGCAGAAATTTTATCAAGAGGATTTCTTTGGTAACAAAGAAAAGAATACTGAACTGTTAAATGACATCTGTCCTTTCTTTACGGCAACGAATGTTGGACGATTTCCTCAAAGATGAAGAAGAGACTCGAGGCGACAGAGATGTGGTTCTACAGAAGGATGCTAAGGATATCATGGACCGAGCATGTGAGCAACGATGAGGTCTTAGAGAGGATGCAAACAAGGAGGAGGCTTATACTTAACATCAGGAAGAGGCAGCTGAAGTTTCTGGGACACATAATGAGGAAGGAGGGTCTGGAGAATCTGATACTCACGGGTCGAATAGAGGGGAAGAGAGACAAGGGAAAACAACGCATGACATACCTGGCGGACTTAAGCAAGTGGATGACAGAACGTGGTCTGGGGAGGAAGCAGAGGGAAGGAACTTGTTGAGAGCTGCAAGGGATAGAAGGAGGTGGAGGTGATCGCCTAGTCCTGAAAGGACATAAAAAAAATGTCCTGGAAGGGGCCTTGTCTACAATTCTAATAATCGCTTTTTAAAAAAAAATATTGAGGAGTGAAGGTAGTTAAAATAATAGCAAAAAAATGGAAAAACCGTCCTTTTCACTCCGTCTTATTGTGGGCATGTTTATCCATGTTATTTTGATTCAATATAGTAGCTCCACTTCCTGACAGTGGAAAACGTGGAACCCAAGATGGCGCAAATTCTTACTCTCCTGGAGTTTAGCATATATAAGTAGCGAAGTAATCGTTCTAAGTAACGCCATTAATCGAAATAAATGCTGCGTAATTTCTTGCGTTAAAATATATATAAAAATTACTGAAATTATATACGATAGCAACTGCAATAATTCTTTACACGTAGATAAAGACAGAATAAAGATGGGGAAAGGAGTGTTAAAAGAGAGCGTGATTTCACCTAAAATAATTTACAGCAAATTCTGGTAGTGACATGGGAACGGTCAAGAGTAAGTATAAAAAGAAAATATTTAAACAATGTACGATGTACTGGTGATGTTTTTAGTAATATCAGAATCTTATTATCATTAAATTAATACTAAGTTAAAATGATACATTTGACAACGAACTGTTCACTCCGACATTCAATCTAAAATATATTTGATCGTTTCTTGTATTCATAGAGGGTTTGCATAGCCCAGTGATCCCAAAAGCGAAGCCATCTGGAGTTGCAACACCTGTAGGGCCATCCATAGCACTAAGGTAGAGGAGGAGGGAACAGGCTGAATGCTACCAACTCCCGAAGACCCTAATGGTGGAATAGGCAAAGATCTACACAATCTCAACGACCAAAACCAGAGAAGAGCGCAGCGCCAGACGGACTAGCGTAGACAATTCGGACCTTGACAGACCAAGCAAATCGACAGCCCGATGCAACCAGGTTTCGCCTGTTTTAATCCTCTTTGAGCCACGAGTGAAGCACTTGTGACCAAGTGTGTGGGATTTGTTTTGGGAGTTGTCCACCAAAATCAAATTCACGCGCATGGCCTCGTCAAACTCTCTTTGGGCTGGTGTGGGCTGGTGACATCGCCAACAGAGGAGAGAAAGGGAATAGGGAGGGAGGATGGCGATCTCGATGATCGGATGCGAGCGGGTACTGACGACTATAAGAATCGTCGGATGAAATGCTCATTAACCCCCAAAAGGTAATATCGACTTAAGAAAATAAACAGAAATAAAAGAAAAGGCATTTCCAGTTATAAATCCAAATCAAATTCAAATTCAATCCAAATCAATGGCCTTCTCCCTCCTGTGGTAGGGAACACTCCCTGATTGACCATGTCTTTTTATTCAACTTGAGTGATTCGTTTTTACGGCGTATCCAATTCTTTGCAGGTTATTTGAAGTTAGGAAATATTTTTACATTGTAAGAATTTTTTGAGATAATAATAGTTTATTGATACAATATATCTTACTAATTAACCCATAGCTGGGGGAGAAGATGTGGATTCATATCTTTCCAAAGGGTATTTGCACGTAAATGAATATAACGAACCCAAATGGAATTGGAACTCGTCTCTCCGATTAACAATTCCTAGCCATTATTCGTTACACCAACTGCACATCCATCCTTACAGCACCTGACCAGGCTCGACGTTGCTTAACTTCGGTGATCGTACAGGAACCGGTGTTTCAACGTGGTGCGGTTGTAAGATTTGATCATGTCTTGTAGCTGTACTCATCACGCTTTGCCAATTGAGGGTTGGTGCGGCTATTTAACCCATGGATGGCCAGTGTCTCTGATGGGTTCGGTCAGCCTTTCACAATTCTTGTTGTCACCAGAGGCTATATTTGTCTTGATAAAGTCCATCAGAAGACGAAACGCGTCGGCTAAGATAAATTTTTCTTTTGTCTTTATTTATATTATCCTTTTACAGATATATTTTTTTAAAAACATGAAAAAAAATTTACACGCATACCATATATATATATATATATATAAATATATATATATATATTTAAGTTATGAAAAAGTTAGTAATCCTATGGGTAGTCCCAAGGAGGATGAAATCCTGAGGACTTAATGTAAATCCAGAGCTAATATATAGTTTTTTATTTCATTTTTTGGAAATGCTCTCTGATGATCCGGCGTTCTTTAAAAGGGCTCTGGTGAAATAAATTATTATAATGGAACCTTAAAGTGGTCTGTTTTTCTTTAATATATATATATATATAATAATAATAATAATAATAATAATAATAATAATAATAATAATAATAAATAATTTAAAAGAAGAAGAAATAAATAAATGCGATGAATATTTTGTAATCTGTGTTGTCAACTGTGTCACTTTTTCATCTTTACACCGAGAGACCGTAGCCCAACATACCATTTTGGAACCAGGCCAACTCTGTGCCAATTTAAAAATATTCCAGGCCGGATCCGGATTCCCAAGTCTACGATTGTTTTCGGCGATTTTTTTAGATGATTGTTTTGCGAATAATTTTTAGAACTTGGAAATAAATTTGGGAATAATCGAAATTAATTGCGATATCTAGCGAAAATCACCGAGGAAATAAAAATAATTGTTTGTACGGAAAGTAAGGACCTACGTACATCAAACTGTCTTTAAATTAAGTGGCGACAGAAGAATTAACGTCGAATTTTTAAAAGCGACCAATTTTGAGTTCTGTAGTTTATTGTTGCCTATCACATCTAATCCTCCCTACCTATTGAGATATCAAGAGCACTCCGTTGTAGCTAGCTTAAATGCCACACAATAAGGCAAAAATAAACTAGTATATATATATATATATATATATATATATATATATATATATATATATATATATATATATATATAGCCTAAACTGGAATATATATATATATAATATATATATATATATATTGAACAATAAGAAAATTAAAAAATTAAAAAATTCTATATATATTAGCATAAACTAGAATATATATATATAAATTAAATATATATATACATATACACATATATATATATATATATATATATATATATATGTGTTTATATATATTGAAGAGTATATATATATTCTAGTCTAAAGAAATAGAAATATATATATATATACATATATATGTATATATATATACATATATATATATATATATATATATATGTATATATATACAACTATATGTATATATATATATATATATAATATTTAAAGTTATATATATGTATATATCTATTATATCAATGTGGAAATATATATCTATACAAATAATCTAAATCTCGGTGGGATGAAGCACCTAGATAATGAGAGAAGTGGAAAATTCAAAAGCAGAAAGAGAGAGGGAGAGAGAGAAATCGGAAGAGAGGGAAAAAGAGATTGACAGAGCGGTAAATCATTCTCACAAGAAAGAGTGTGAGAGAGAGAGAAGTGGGAAATTAGGAAGGTGAGAGAGAGAGAGAGAGAGAGAGAGAGAGAGTGAAAGAGAGAGTGAAAGAGAGAGAAAGAGTGAGAGAGATGGAAAAAGGAAAAAGAAAGGAAAGAGATTGATCGAGCGGTAAATTCTCATGATAGAGACAGACAGACAGACAGACAGACAGAAGCAGACATACGGACTTATTGATAGGAGCAGAGAAAATCAGTAAGCCCTGTGCGTGTGTGTGTGTGTGTATGTGTGAGGTAGTGATAGAAAGTGAGAAAGGGCGACAAAAAACACGGGTGGGACATAGATATTCAGATAAGAAATCAAAAGTAGAGGATGTAGACAGAAAGGGAAAGATTAATATATATATATATATATATATATATTAGTGAACAT